GTGAATGACCGAAAACAGCTGTTTGCCAACACGACTTTTCGATCGTAAACGAAATGGGAATTTTTGCCGAATCACCTAGGAATACGGTTTGTCGATAGAATTCGAAACGTCCGGAAAATAAAATTATGGTTCTGATGAGAGCATCTTCTCCTGGACGCACAGTACATTCATTGTGGTTCTGGGTTTACACAGCTGATGTAAGAGCCCACCTATAAGGGGTTTTAGAGATTAACTAATAGGCGAAAGAAACGCTAGAAATTTGGCTGTACTAAAACCTCCCACTTGCTGGTGTTCTTTCGAAACCTAGCGAGGCCGCCGAGTCCAAGGAATCCCTGTAGTCGATTCACAAGTCTACAATCGAGGTCTTCAGTTGTGGTGAGGGGGGTAACTAGTGGGTACATATAGAGACGAAAATAGGACAGATTGTAAAATTGAAGAAATTTTATGAATACACCGGTGCAGTTTGGGAAGTCGCGCGAAATTCTGTAAAACGAATCTCACAGAAAGCTAAAAGTTCCAGCGAACTACGGACCTTAAACCACGCCCAAACTGACTCCTAATATTAAAAATAACCCCCAATCCAACCCAGAAACTAATAAGCCATTACTGTGTCACTTGTCTTTGCCGGCAATACAATGTGTTCGGATTCGACACATGCCGTTTTACTTTTATAATGTTACGTGTTTGATATAACTACGTTGCATTTAAACAAATAGATAAATTCTGCAAAAATATCTTTTTTTCTTTTACAATTGAAAAGTAGTATTGGCAACCAGAGAAATCAACGATACGGTATACACTCGCTTTTTTTCTAAATAAACTGAACTACGCTAAACTTCTTGCTGCGGGTTCGTAGCCGAGAGTTGTTTTAGTAAAAAGATGGAACACATCAGGTAGCATTCCCTTCTCGTATTGAAATTTCATTGCATTGCAATGTCCTTCACAAACGTATTGAGAGATTTTGCTTCTATCTCGCTCTCTACGCATGCGTCCCATTCCAATTCTTATAGCACTTACCTTAAACAGGTTATAGTCTGGTAATGCAAATCCCTCTATGCATTTGTCTTATAGGAGAAGGGCGTAAACAGTGCCCAACTTGAGGCCAACCTACTCCGTCAGGAACCGGACATTGCAGTCAACTTCCTTCTTCTTTTCACTCCGCCCGTGACCCTGTCAGATTTCGGTGTCACCGTCGAACTTCATTCTACGGTTCATGTTGGTGCTGTTAGAAGCAGGATTCGCGATTTGCGGCTTACTCTGGGCGAGGGTTTCGTTCCGCTGGCTGAGACTGACCATTACTCAGTCCCGTCGAATGAGCAGAAGGCAAACATTCACTACGGACCGATATACAACACAGGTGAATTTCGAGGGAGTGCCTGATTGGTTAATAGCTATACTTCAGCAAAGGCCGTTTAAAGAGCCCCTAAAATGTTAGGTTCCAGCCCGAAGATATTTCCCTTACTGACACTATCAAAGCTGAGTCCAGAAAACCCTGGTTTAGTTCCTCAGCCGTCTTCTTCGCTGCCTTTTAATGTTCATCTCTAAACAGATCACGTCCTCTGCAATAAGTGTTTTGTTGGGGGATATTTAAAACAGCGCATTAAGCGAAAAATCGTCCGCGATTTGATACGTAATTCCTTAATCCTTTATAACGACAAAGTGTGTACTGATATAATTTAAGTAGGCATGCGAAATTGGGGTTTCATATCTGACTGAGCTTAAGTAGGTCCAGGTTTGGCTTAAGGTTAGGGATGCGTTAAAAGATGGGGTTAGGTAAAGAAGTAGGTTTGGGGTTACGTCTGTCTGGCGCAGACCATGTTACCCAGACCATGAGTCTTCTGGTTCCCACACATCAATGGAATAATAAAACAAAATCAACTCAAGTGGTCATCAGCGCAGTTGCCATGGTAAATAAAATTGCTCCATCCAGGTGGTTTAGAATCCTCCCGTATGCAGCCCTGCCTAACTTGAGTTCATTCCTAATTGTTGAAGTTTTGGTCCTCAATCCGTACCATGTGTATACATAAAAGCGTAACAACAAAGTGCATTCCTTACAGGATCAATCTACCAGCAGGATGGCGTAATTCCCAGGGCAGCCGATCAGCTCACCATTCACCTCTCGGTCGCAGTGGAAACCGGGACTTTGGTTACCGTGAATATCAATCTAGGTTCCCGGCAGTTGCAGAGGCAGTTCCGCTTGGAAACCTCAGGTGACGCAACACTCCAAGTCGTGCCCGTCTTTACTTCTAGCCTGCGTTGGCCAAATCAACCACATGGCAAGCTGGCGACGGGGTAAGCCTCTTGCAATGCTTCATTTTAAATAAAACGTTGTTATTATCACAGATGCAAACGTAGAACTGGCTTCCAGTTACTTACTTGATTGTAGGCAAGAGTAAAGAAGACAACGAAGATGAGGAAGGAAAGCGATTGGTCGAAAAACGCGTGAAGCAAAGAAGGCAGGCGCGATAACTGGGACAGCACTTGTATTAGTCTGAGCTTTCGGACTCGTACAGGGAACCATCATCAGAGATAATAAGAGTTCAGCAAGAGTTGGCATGTTTTTTAGTCCATTTACAAAAAAATGGGGGCGGGAGGAGGTGATAAAATTCGGAATTGGTTGCGCTCCCGTTCATTTCGTCTCACCTTATCGCGTCGGCCTGCGTCCTTGGACATGAATTGGGCCGTGTTTCTTGGTCGCACGATCGGAAGGCAAAATAACAGGGCGGTATACACATGTGCCTATTAATAGCATTGGAATTCGACACCCATGCCTCTGTTATAACTTAACCTACTTACAGCCTAGGTACTAGCTAAAAGGCACAGACACGTTTTTCGCTGACATCTTGCCACTGCTGGACACAGCTGCGAGGTGTTCGGCTAATCAGTGAGTCACTCGTCTTTCCCTGTCTGCTTTCTGGTTGATATACCGGTTTTGGAAGCCCAGCGTTTTAATTTACTGAGAAATTAATTTCTAACAATGGTATTTTACCGACAACACAGACCACATCACGAAGCTTTTCGGCCTATTTGGGCCTCATCAGGTGATGATAGGTCAACTCCAGTGTAGCAGCGGAAATTGCCGCCACGCTCGGGTTTCAAATTCGCATCTCTCCGGCCAGAGGCGAATGCTCTAACTCTTGAACCACGGGAATTACCTAATAATATATTTAGTCCCGATCT